CTATTTCAGTTGCATTTAGGTTAGTTTAGTAAAATCCAAACAACTATCATGCTTATTTTGGCTTTTTGTCAACAGTCATAAGGTGGTTGGAGTAACATTTTATTCCTCGTAAAGCCAGAAGGTGAGAGGTATTATAAATTGTGTTGTTTGAAAATGGATCAGTTCAGTGCTTTGTAAAATATCACTATAATTTTGGCTCTTTTTTTGTCAGTATATGTAACTACTTATTTATTGCTACATGGTAGAATTTCTTATTCTATGCACATCTATGCACTTGCACATCTAATTCATGTCGCATTTTCTAATGAAGGGTGTGGGGAGAAGTGCAGCAGAACTGGCTCTAGTATCACCAATAAAGAGGGCTGTAAGAGTTTAAAAAGGACTCTGCAGCTGCAACCTAAAATTCTATTCTGGAGCTGAGCAGTGAATACACGAGACCTAATCCTGGATATAGGTTTTGGTTTTTTGAAAAAAGGGTGAGGGAGAAGGAGTGCAATCAAAAACAGTAAAAAGATTTGCAAATGTTATGGTGTGGCTGGCGCAGGAATGTTTGGTGGGGGGTGTGCAGGAATTTGGGTGTGGGGGAGCATTGCTTTCCACTCCTGCTGCTGGTGTTGCTCAGAAGTAATATAAAAGGAATGAAGATAAAATAACTGTATTTTGGCCAAACTGATCAAGTTATAACAAGGGAACTGTAATTCAGCTAGCATGTCAGTTTGGATATCATCTCCTGATTTCAGGTTTCCAGTGCTGTGTGTTATTGGCTCTGCTGACAGCGATGAGAGACAAATCTCTCTGCTGTTGGCAGGAACAGAGGAGTTCACACAGGCATGGTGTGACAGAATTCCCCACATAAAAATTATCCTTGCTAATATAATATAATCATCCTTTAATGAAGTGGTCCTGTGGTTCCCAAGTTCCACAGTCTCAAGTGAAGACTGTGCTTTCATTCCACTGAATTATCAGTGTATTTAGTGTACCCGTCATACCCATGTCTAGGTGTCACCATTAGCCATTGCTGCTCATCTCCTTTCCAGGCCTGGTTTTAATTCTCTTTCCGCTTTTGCAGCTCAAGTCAGGTGAGAAAGAGGAAAATAAGCCAAGTGAGCGCATTTATATTTTTATTTGTTGCAGAATGCCCGTGATTTAAAAGCTAGTGATCAATTTAGTTGACCTAACTGTAGAGCCAAATAGAAAAATGTATCCTCTGAGCATGTGCAGTATTGCAGAACTGCTGGCTGTGTGCGTTGATGCCTTTTTGTGTTGGTGGTTTGTAGGAAAAGCATTCCAAGTACTTATTTCTGCACATACTCTCACCCTGCTTCAGCTGCTGCTAGTCAAGAGGACTTGCACTATACTTTTCATGTCTTCCTGACTTACAGGCTGTAAAGGGCCTTGTTCACCGGAGTTTGAAACTCTGGCAAACACTTTACTGCAGATCTATTAAGGATGCTACAGCATTCCCAAGTGTGGTTGAGGCTGCCTGAAACTGCTGAGCTGGCATTTCGCTTCAGACGGTGTTCACAATGAGGGCATACACACAAATCCTCCCCCACCGGTCCAACCCCAAAGCTCACAATTAAATGGCCTTTGAAAATGGCAAAGAGGCTTATGAAGAATAGCCTTGATGGAATCTAACCTTTCCTGGAGCTGCCCTTGTGTGCAGAATAGTTGATAATTTTCCGAGCTGAGAACGTTGGGAAGCGAACGCCTTTTAGCTGGAGCGAAATATCTGCAGCCTTCTTGTGTTCTGCATGTAAAGTACCAGCAAAGTCTGCCCTGGCTCAGTATGGGCACTCAACCTCTACAGAAATTGCAGCCACCAAGCTACAGTTCACTTCAAAGCCCTTGCTTTTGTTTGCAAGAGCACAGAGGTGTGCTCACAGCTGACCAGCCCATCCCCGGGTCTGGTACCAGATGGGTGATCCCTGCCGAGGGCAGCCACACCGTCTGGTGTGGGATACATTGGATAGTCACTGCTGGGAACGTGGTGGGCCAAAGACTTAGGGTCTCTACTTACTTGACTTTTGTAGTCTTAAGGAAACGAATATTTCCTCTAAGTTGCAACAAAGTGTAAAATTAAAGCAAAAGGGGAAATGTACCTGCCCTGCAAGTTTAGTCTTTATCACTTGCAGATGAAGCTAATGAAATCATTCCTTAGAAAATGCGCATCTCCAAGATAATTAATCTTACACCATGAGGAGAGGTCTGGGGTTACTGTTATTGAAAATATCTGAAAACAGTTGGAGTCCAGTGGTTTTTTGGTGATTGAAATTTTATTTAAAAGGTCATTTATTTAAAATTCAGCTCATCTGTGTCATGGTGATTAGTGATTGACCATACTAGTTTTTCACACTAAGATGATCTTTTTGTTCTTCTGTCCCTCACAGACCTGGGATTCTATAATCTTATCTCTATTTACCTTTGCCAGATATCTGATGGCTTTTAAATATTTTCATGAGGAATCAGTTCTTTGAAGGCTGCCAGGGTAGCAGCTATGGAGTGTGGTCTAGTTTATCCATAGAACAGTTTGGGTCTACCAGACTAATTTCATGCAGAAAGTCAGGCAGGTTTTCTTCAGAGGTTTCTTGTAACTGTTTCCTTAAGTTCTTTTTCTCATTTTTACTACATGATTTGGCATACAAACCATGGTATAGTTTCTGTTCAAATATCCACTTCTGGGGCTACCTGCCCGTGGGAAAGCATGCCAGGGCAGCCAAGCTCATGCCTCTGGAATTCCTGATATGGGATTGACATTGGGTGAAAACAAACTGCGACCCCAGGTCTGTGAGTATGAATGTTTGCTTGGGTCTGCAGCCCGTTCACCTGAATTGTGACATCCCTGGCTACAACGTCTTCTGCCATGAGTTCTCCTCCTTCCTCTTTTGCTTTGGACTGTTGTTGTATCAGCAGAGGCTTCAGGTGGCTGAGTTTTTAGGAACTGAATGTGTGAACAAAACTGTTTCTGTTTTTCTTCAAAAACACACTTTATGCCTGGGTATGGTAAAAAGTTCTGGTGTTACATGCTCTCTGCAAAACCTGCCCGTACCCAAGCAAGGTGGGAAATGCAGGGGCTTGGGTGGGGGGAGGCTCAGATCCATAGGTTTTTACTTGAAGCTACCCAGTTTCTGGGAATTAAAAAAAAACAACCTCAAACCCAGACCAGGCTGAGATTTCTGAATGCAATTGCAGCCACCTCCCTTTGCAGCACTCATTTTTAACCAAGCATAGAACAAGACTGCTTTGCTCTTCTGGTGTCCTCCTCCCTCTTTCACTGCCTTCAACCACTGCAGGAATTGGGAAGGGGTGGGAATGCTGAGGTTGATGAGACAGGGCTTGTTTAAAATCCTGTACTCAAGTAGGGCAGCACTATGGCAGTGTTTTTTTCCTTCTTCTTAGTGCTTGTGATCCCTTTCATTCTTCATTGCAGTTACAGAGGAAAATCTGGAAATATATATAGTAAGCTGCTGAACATATAGAGGTTACTGGGGCAGTAAAGTATTCGCATGGATCAAATAAATTGTCTTTTAAGGCCAAAATTAAATCACACTAAGAAAACATGTCACGATTTTCTTTTTTCCGTGAGTAGGGGTGGTGTTGAAGTGATTCATTGGAAGTTGTACCTCTTCTTAGCCTGTAAAGGATAAATGTGCACTTGGGAACATCAGTGCCTCAAAATGAGAACTCGAGGAACGTTTGTTCTCTAAAACAACCTCATCAGTGTTCCAGGGCACAGTTGGGTGTACGGGTGCTGCTGGGTGGTGGTTTAATCTTTTGGAGCTGGGAGGTATGTGCTCCAGGAGCTCCATAGCTCTGTGGGTCAGATCCTGCTCTCCTGCATATTTTCTCTCAAATGATGTGTGCATGTTGAAACCCTGATGTCTGCTTTTAAGTACAGAAATGACCAATGTTTTTGCTAGCAACTGTATGCTACATACGTATTCTGGATTTTTTTTGTTATGGACACTTGTGGTTATCTTTTAATGTCGCTGAATTCTGTATGAACAGGACTTGTTGGCTACAGGATAGATAAGCAAGACTTCTACGTTAATAGAAACATAATCATGTTAGCTATGCTGTCATTAAAAAACAAATTCATAAAAAGTATAACCTTAGGAGTCATGAGTTGCTACTACACCCGCTAACACTTCATTCTGTTGGCTTTCTCACGCTGCCTGTCTTTCGGCAACATGTTGTGTTGCAGAGCTGGAGGCTGCTCCCCTCAATGCAGAGACTGTCCAATTTACATTCTAGTCATACTGCAGCGTTTCATAACCCGCTTTAGCTTTCCCCTGGCTTCCCAACAGCTCTGCCGCCTGACACTGCACAGGGACCTCCGGGACAAGGGAAAGGGCCTGGGAGTCCCAGAGAAGAAGAGGAGCAGCCAAGAGTCTTTGCCAAAAGAGACTGTCAATACAGGGTGCGAGGCATTGGCCTGAGAAGTGGTGTGAGCTGGTGGTGGATCAGTATGCTGTTGCACGGGGGTTTTAGTGCAGGTGTCTGGACTGAAAGGAAAGATTGGAGTTTTGCTGCTTTGGATAACTCTTACCTTCCACGTGGGAGAGAGTGTGTAGGGGAAAGCAGATCAAAAATGCCATGGATCTCAGTATCTGGTCAGAGTTCCCATAAATGCTTTAAGAATGAAGCCCTTTCAAATGTCTGTCCTCTAGTTTGGAGCAACCGGAGAATGACCTGTACAAAACAAAGAGTTCTTTAGAACTGATCACTGTGCTTACAAATTCCTCAAAACATTGACATATCTGAATATTTGCTGTTTTTTTAATATTAGCACTACTTTTAATTTTGTTTCATGAGCCCTTGCCTAAATAAAGTGCTCCAAGTTAGTGCCTCATGTTGAAAGAAGACATGCCTGCCACTGCTGAGAATCCCTGCTGGAGCAGCCCAGGATGTGGGTAGTGCTCTGATGTGCAACCTGCATCACTTGCTGTGAGATGGAGAGAGAAATTTTACTTTACTAACTTTCATGTTTTGTATTGTAGCCATGAGACGCAAACGACCTGCTGGGATCATCCCAAGATGACTGAGCTTTACCAGTCATTAGGTAAGAGAACTCTACCAGATGTTCGGTGGGGTTTTTTCTCAGTTGGATGAATTGTTAAGACGAAGATTTTTTCCAGAGGAAATAAACTGAAATTAACGGACAGAGAAAGACAGTGCTTTTGTCAAGGTTAAAATTTTCTGCAAGGGGAATATGTGAGGCATAGTAACACATTTCAAACATGCAGTAGAAAAAAATCGTATTTCAATTAGCACGTTAGGACTGTGCGCTGGGTTTACAAAGTAATTTGGGTATATTGTTGCAAACTCTTACTGAAAGACTGGGACAGAAATTTAAAAAAAAAAAAATCCTGAATCTTTTCACTGTCTAATCTGCTTTACAAAAGGCAGATGAAAAAAATCAAACCAAGCTGCTGTTAATGTTGACTTTTGGATGGTGGGAAGCCAATTGAAGCAATTTGCCAAACTGTGTTACCACTGCTTTATTTTTAAAGCACTTTCAATACTTAGAAGGCATAGCAGCTGTCATGATGTCATTTTGAATACCCAAATTGCATGCTTATTATGACTTCAGATGTGCCTCTCTGGTGGAGGGGGTTTTTTCCATATTTTAACAGCTTTGGATTTTATTAACAGAAACACATCTCTAAGATAAAATGGGTTAATCTATGCTCTAGTGTAGGCTGCTTGGCAGACCATTTAATAACTAACTCTTCCCTTTTAATGATTCTGTTAATAAATAATGGAGGATCTAATAAAAATTAAGCTATTTCACTGAAAGGAATATCAGTGAATATGCTGTATTCATAAAGAAGGTTACGTCTGTACAGCTCACGTATATAAACGAGCTTTGAACAACCCAGTGTGAGCACTGGGACAGTCAAATCTAGCATTCAGTGCAGGCTTATTTACCATGGTGAAAAATAGCTTAAATTATCACCTGCTAAACTCTAGTTTAGCTGCTGAAAACAGTCTAATTATGCCGGTATAATCTATTTCAAGCTAACTCAGGTATCTCTATGGTGCTCTGCAGTTAAAGGCATACTAAAAATACTTTAGAAGACTGATATGATAAAATGAAACAAGACAGTGTGACGATTTCTTTCCTTATAGCATTAGCAGTGTGGCAGCAGTTTGTTTAAAAATTAACCAGATTACAGCTCTGTATGCCAAAAGGGGATATACGATGTATAAGATCAGGCCAACCAAATGCAAAAGAAGACAAGTATTGACTTGCCGTTTAATTATAATGTATTGCCCTGTTTGTCTCCTTTATATTTCTGCTCTTAAAGTGAGTGGTTTAAAAGTTTCAGGACAAACAGTAATTGTACATGCAGACATCCCTTTAATGCAGGTAGGTCTTCAAACAGTTGCTTGTTAATTGAACTGCGCTCTGACTCTGCAGCCGCCTTTGATCCAGGCATTGCATGATATTTCTGATACTGTTGTTGTTCAGACCCAAAGTCCTGTTGCAACTGCTTTTCTTGTGTTAGTTCCCTGGTTCAGCTAGAGTACTCTTGAATATCAGGAAGTGAAAAGGTAATAAGGGAGAAAAGTGTCCTGATGGATTCAGGTCAGCAGTTCAGAAGATGTGTGACTGCTGAAGTCAGTTTGCATTTACTTTAACTGAGTTTTATTACTGTAAGTACCACCCAAATGTCAGGAGTTTAGGATAGCCTTATTTCTTACTTCATAAAGAAGGAACATGTTCAGGCAGATTTTGTTTCTTTTTCTTACTTACTTGTGAGCTTTTTTTTTTCTCCTGCTATTTTCCTTTTCAGGAGCAAGGGATGTCCAAAAAATAGTCCTCTATCTGGCTAGTTTTATTTCTTTTGGAGCTGAGATCAAATACTCATTAATATGGAAGCAACACTGATTTTAACAAAGGATGAATACTGTGTATTTTTCTGAGTAAACTGAGGTGTCCATAACTGTGTACAAAACAGATTAGACAAGGTGATTCTTTGTACAGTGCCACACTGGTGAAGCTTTGATGAAAGTGCTACTGAGTAACCTACTGATTTATTTTATTTTATTTTTGAACTTGATGTAATCATCGTTGCCTAACTCTCACACAAACTGCATAATACAAGTATAACCCGTTTAGTCCTTGAACAGAACCCTTGATGTATTTTCAGTGCTTTGCTTTGCCTCAGGTCAAAACGGTAATAATGGAATGTTTGAAGTCTTTTCAGACTGTTCAGTAATATATTATCTGAGAAGATGTTATTAAAGTCGATTTTGTATTGCATACTCATTATATCCTATTATTTTACCCCACATTAGGATCCAGATTTTGCTTTTCATTCATATGAACAAGCTAGTAAAGAGCTTAGTATGTATGCATTTTAAAAATCTGGTAGAAAACATGAATTCTGCAATCTCGGTAAATGTAAAAAAGTGAGACCAAGTACATCAATGCTGTCAAGAGTTTTCATTTCCATTTTCCAACTCCTACACTTAGCCTGTAGGGAATAATTGTGCTATGTGATGTAGCTCTCTATACATGCCAGTATTTTATAATTTGCTAGGGGATGCTTATGTCTAATTTAAATTCTTACAAATTACTAAAAGCTTAATTTTTTTTAGTGAATGAGGAAGGTGCATCCTGGCACAAGGTAATGTTTCTTATCTGCCTATGTCTTTGAGATGGAAGAGACACTTCTCTAACAAAGAGGAGTAATACTAGTTTTAATCTTCACATATCCAATTCACACACCTACAAATTGCTGCTTTAGATTTTGCTAAAATAGATGAATTTTAAATGTCATACTTTAGTGTCATTAGTGATTTGTGTGTTTGTAAAAATGAAGCTAAATTACTTGGGAGCGTTATTTGGTACTAATAAAAGAAGGTAGGAATGTGCTGTGTACACTTTTGACTGATCAGATGGTTGGTTGAGGAAGTCCTGTATCCTGTCTTCAGTAGAACTGCATCAGAGACTGCAGGAAGAACGCATAGGAAGAAACTGTAAAACAATCTGCCCAGTAAGGAAGTATTCTTAAATTCTCTTTGAGTTCCTTCACTGAAACATGGCTGGTTATAAAGATACTCATAATAACTGTGAAATACTTCATTTGAAATTTAATATGTGTATCAAAAATTTCCAACTGGCTGTTCTTTGTAACAAAAGCTTTTCCTTTTAAGATACTAAAATGCTTGTTCTTGACTGCTCTTTATTATTTAAAACAACGTAGCATTTTATCAGTTTTAATGAAGCATCTACTCCTTACTCAAGTTGGACAATTTTCACTCTTCATTTAAAGTTATGGCTACTTAAAGTTACATAAAAAAAGTCTATATTGAATTACTTAATTGTTGTTTAATGTCTAGTCAAAGTGGCAACAGGTAGTAGATGTTAGTATAGATTAAATAAGAAGGAATCGTATGAATTACAAAAACAGAGAAATAATAAATGCTGAGATAGGAAAGGTAATAAAAATTGTTGAGTCTCAAAGGTTCAGAGGCTGACCGACATCCCCTGGTTTGTATTTACACCATTATGAGCCACTCCCATTTTCTTCTAACTTCCCTCTGAAAATCTTCCAAGTACCGAGAACTGCTCTAGCTGCTTTTCTTTCCAAAAGTAGTTCCTCTGCAGCAGATCTGCTGGTTTTACACCATTTTTTACACTCCCCTTACAAATTTTCTCATGCTTGTGATGACTACAGGGCATCACTGAAAAGATAATTTGTGTTATTTCACTGTCTTGGAGGGCAAGGACCTTAGCATGAGGGGAGACATGGGAAGAGCAGGAATGAAAGTGTTCTGGAGTTGCTTAATTTTTTTCAGATTATCTTCTGAGAGTGAGCGTTTAATGTCAGGCAGCTGAGCTCAGAATAGTAGTATTTTGCCTTTAAACTGAAGGTGACTAACCTTTGCTGCGATGGCCCAGGAGGACTTGGTCTGCTGTGCCATACTGTCAGTGTCCCCTCCTCCAGCCTTCCATGTCATGTCAGTATGAGTCTCCTCAAGGTGCATTAGTGTCACCCTGAACAGTAATTGCAGTGGCAGGGTGCAGTCAGAAATGCTGCCGTGTGCATCTGCTTATCAATCCTAATTCACCAAGGCAAGACATGAGGGTGAAAACCACCCTCACCCTTGCAGGCCGCAGTGCACTGGTGACAGCTCTCCATTTAATTTGGAGGGCTGGGGGGACAGTTCTCTGTGGATTATGTGAAAGAAATGTCAGAGTTGCTTAACACAAGGTGGGAGAATGCTGGAAGGTACCTCTGAGCCTCCTCTAGGCTTCTGGCAGCAACTGCTGTGTTGGTCTTGTGGCTGGCTACTCTTGTGCAGCAATGTGAGCTTCTGACTCCCAGTGACCAAGGTGGATAAACGTCATCCTTTTTGGTTTGTCTATTTTATTTCTCCTTCTGAAATGCTGCCTGAAGAGGCTTAACTGCTCCTTGCTGTCGTTACAGTTTTTATTAGAAACTTCTAAATCATATCTTTATTATGAGGTTTTGTTCAAATTCAACTAATTGTTTTCTGTGTTTGTACTAGTAAGACCCATGCCTATTGCATACATCAATCGTCTTATTTCTACTGAAATCCAGTGAGGTGGTACATATGGCCTTTCTTTAAAGGTTGCTTATTCACTAATGTCCTTTTCAAGCTCATTTCAGAAAATAGGATTGGTTGGATTCTGTCAACCTCAGAGAATAATCAGACCTAGAGCAGGTCATCTTTCTAACTGTATGATTGCATCCTATGCAGCATCATGTAACAGACAATAAATGTGTGGCAGAGAAGTAGAACTTAAGTGGTAGAAGTTAAGCTTGCATCCCTTGAAAATGAAAGCATAGATGTATTAGCAGTGAAGGAGGGTATTCTAGAGAGAGTGAAGTAATGTCCTGTTATGGAATTGGTGACCGGTGTGGGGACATTTTGCTTAAGTTAACTGCAGTCTTTGTTTGCAAATGGACACCTTTTATTAATGTTTTTTGAAGTTGCTTGTAATTTATTTATTTTAGGATTTTCCAGTATGACTGCTTCTCCTGTAGCATGTATGAAGGGTTTCTGACTGCAAACTCCACTCAC